CAATCTGACTTCACTTGCACTGTAAGCAGTGAAAATAAACAGCAATGCACTTTTATGAATGTGTGCAGCTCAACTGTCTGTCTTCACGGTGGGAGACAAAACAGTTCAGTGTGCACCTACAGTGAATCGCTATTATGTGCATTTTATGCTGGGACTCCATGAGAATTGGGTCTCTGTAGATTTTTCTAGCTGCAGAGCAGTGTGGCTGAGAATACTAAGTAAGTCTAACGTGCGGTTTAAATACTGCCTTATGAGTCGCTGAGTTGGCAATGGGATGCTTTCCAATTTTCTGCAAAACACAAATATTACCTGGCTTAATGGTCTGTGGATATATGTGAAAAAATAGTTTTGTTATCTGGATACTGAAGTGAAAGGGATTTCCTGGTGTTCTACAATAAATGAGAACTTAGTATCTAGCCACTAAAATTTGGCATAAACATCTCTGTAGCTTTATGTAGCTGACATGTCTGTCACATGGTGGAACTTGGGGGCAGGCCCTTCATGGGCTTAAGACTTTATATGGCATGTTGATTGTAAAGTATTTACATTTGGCTATGATATTAATTTGGGTATGAAAACCATGGGGGAAAAAATCTGCATCATTCCAATGTTTCTTTTACATTCTTGGGACATTTTTCTGTATTCAGCATAGTCATACACAACTCAAGTTCCAGCCAGGAAATGTGAAATAGGCTGCATTTTAATTTGAAATAACACTTTTCCTCTTTAAATGACATGAAGCCTGTGATTTTTTTTTTTTTGTGAGAAGTATTGAGACAGAAATGTGTTTGCACTGAGCTGTTTACTGGAATACCAGTGATGGTTCTCTGGAATACTAAATGCTGAGACTTATATGCATGAGGCTTAGTGCTTCAGTCTGCATCTTAATTTTTAATTACCTTCATATTTTCATAAAGCTTCTTTAAACCTGTTTTTAAGTCAGTGTAAGTTGGCATCTGTATTTTTAATCATTTTAAGCAGTCTTGATCACTTTATAACGTCTCTAGTCTTACCAGAATTGCATGCTTTCTTGTTCTTCAGGAGCAGGAATTATCCATCCAAACACCTCTTATTAGATAGCGTAAAGAAATAGACTTCAAGGCTGGGTTGGATGGGGCTTTGAGCAGCCTAATCTAGTGGAAGGTGTCCCTGCCTGTGGCAGGGGGGTTGGAACTGTATGATCTTTAAGGTTGCTTCCAGCCCAATCAATCTGATTCTGTCAGATGGAATATTACTGATACTCATTTTTCTACATACTTTATCCCATACTCTGCATAATGTCCTGAGCCAGTTCCTCTATTCGTTGATGAAAGGGGAGCTGGTAGGAAGCTGAGAGTTCATTAGCACTTTGTGTCCATATACTGGTTTGGAATTATTGTTAACTATGAACATGAAATGGCTGATTGAAAATAAAAGCTGGTGCCTACATGAAGACACAGAAAGCTGCTGTTTACCACTTGAAAGTTACTTCATAAGTGGAGTTTTCTGGCCTGAACTCTTAGGTGTGAAGGTGCCTCTGTCACTCTTCCCTCTTCTCTGAACCTGTTATCCTGTGAGGGGTGTCCACTAGCTGTTTTGATCTGCTAAGGGTAGATAGACCAAATAGAAAGAAAATTTACTTTAAGGCCACTTTGCAGTCAGAGCTGGCAGAGAAATTGGTTACATGGAGTAAAATCCTGTGTGAGTTTTTTTCTGGTTAAATATCCTCATGTAATGCTCTTGTCCCACAGTTTTCTCTTTCATCATTTGAACTTAAACAGTCAGTGGAAAGAATAAATTGTTTTTCTTCAGCTGAGTCTGCCTGATTTGGGGATTTAAAGACAGGTTCAAACTTCATGAGCTAAGGCTTTTTCTTAATGAAGTCTTATGACTGGAATGTAGTTAATTACCACCTTATTATTTAACAGATTAGGAACTGATGTGATGAGTCCACGCTGGCAGCATGTCCTGTGGAATCTTCCTTGCCTCTCAGTGGTTTTTGTGATAGATATAGTCACTGGTTTGGGTTTTCTTGGTGCCAAGCTTTATTTGCTTGCTGCCCATTTGAGCTTCTGGTCATCAGAACTGGTAGGATGATGGGGATGGTAGTGCAGGCTCCTATTTAACACATGAATTTTGGGAGTGAGCCTTGTTCTGTATCACTTGGGCACAATTCCAATGTTTTGCAGCCATTTAAGAGCATGCAGTGGTAACTGAATCGTAGTTAAGCTTGCTTTCTTTAATGGTATAAAAGATAAAGCCACAACTAAGTTGTGTTTTTCTTTTCCATCCGCAGCATTGACAAGATATCTAAAGTAACGTCTCCAGTGTTGGTAATCCATGGTACCGAAGATGAGGTAATTGATTTCTCCCACGGCCTGGCTATGTATGAGCGATGTCCACGAGCAGTAGAGCCCCTCTGGGTGGAAGGGGCTGGGCATAATGACATAGAGCTTTATGCACAGTACCTAGAGAGACTAAAACAGTTCATATCTCATGAACTTCCCAACTCCTGAAGAAGCCTACCTGATTTTACCTCAGTTACTGTGAACGGAAGAAATTACCTGGTTTTGCACATGCTTTAACTGGATAGCTGTAATAGCTTTATACTATGAAGAAATACCCTGTCGTTAGGGTGTTCTAATCAAACATCTGATGAAATTTGTCTTTTATATCTGGAAATTATTCTACTAATGCACACAAATATGGTCAACTACTGTAATTCCAACAATTTTTAGCTTCATTGCCCTGGAGGAAGTGGGAATACTGGCTGCTTATGGGGACACTTTTTACCTAGTGCTGTATTAATTGAAGATCAGTTTTCTCTGTCTCACTTCAGATCGTTTATAATTCTGTCCTTACAAAGACTTTTTTCCCCAGTGTTCTCAGTGTGGAGAACACACTGTTACGAGCTACAGCTTGTTCTGAACAATCAGTCATGGGTTCAATCTAAGGGAGTACTTGCTCTGTAAAGTTTCTAGCTGTGGTATTGTAACCGGAAAGTTATTGTGATGAAGTTCCCCCTCCTCCCTTCTAGTGTTCTTTTGTTAACTTACTGATCTTCCTGAGTAAATTATTTAAATATACTTTTTCCTGAAAATAAACAAACTACTATATGGGGCTAAACTCTGTAACGACCTCTCCATTTACCTGTATAAATGTAACTGGAATTACTCTTAAAGGAACTAGGGACAAAAATTGCTTTTGTTTAAAAATAAATGTGTAAATTTACTACTAGAAAACTCATTTTAATATTCAGATGGTCTGAATAATAGCCATAACAGACATTTCCTTCTGTAAAGCATTCCTGTAGACTTTTTAAAAGTACTGTACATATTTGAATTTACATTGTGCATAGATTCTTAATTGGTAGTTTTAATTTAAGTCTAGTTACAATAAACTGCAAAATTCTGGTTTGTATATGATTGAATACATTTTGTTAAAATATGTTTTTATCCCTATATTATTTTGCTATTAAAGTTTTATAAAGTTTCCAGGACAAAAAAAAAATAATAAAAATTTACACATTTATGTTTTGATGACTTTATGTAACTAAATTTTCATTGAGCTGATCTCTTTAGTTGAGAAGTAATTTGATTCTTTGACACTGGAATCGCACAGATTATGCATCAGAAATGCAAGACACTTAAAAATTGTTACACTACTAGCATAGGTCTAATTTTTCCAAATTTAAAGGCCTTAAATGTACTGTAAGCCTCAGATTGTTGTATAAATTGATCGCGATTGATTGCAGTTTGTGTCCTGTTGCTAGAACGCAACACAGTGATTGTAATGGAATAAAGGATGCATGGATTAGAGCTTGCTGAATTTCTGAATCTTATTTGGCACATGATTTTCATGCATAAGAGAAGTGTGAAGTACCGATTATTTGACAGAGTAACTTGAACTTCAGTATTTAATTCCTTCCTTTCAAGGAAAACTCTCCTCAGGTACAAAGCCACATTCCCATAAAGCTTGGTATGTAAATCAAATGTAAAAGAGTTTACTTTTACATGGTGTTCAGCTGGATTTGAGTAAAGAAAAATCATGATTCATTGCTTAGGAGAAATGTTCGAACATTGTCATGAGTCCTTATAACAGGCCTGCAATTAATTTTCAGCACTGCAGGTGTGTCTATTGTCTTTGATTATTGTCTTGGCCCTCTTACTGTAAAAGAAGAAAAACTGGTATTTTCACTTACAGAGGGGGAAAATGAGGACACCCATGCTGTTCCACATCATCTGGATCTGTGTGTCTCTGTTGCCCAGTTGTGAGTTTTAAATGCCCAAGCAGCAGGGCCCCAGCTGTTCACTTGGCAGGTTTTGCCTGATTTTCACCTCAAGCTTGCTGCTTCCCCCCTCTGTGTTCAGATACATGTCTCATCTTTGTATTTATTTTGCACCTTCATAAACGTGCAGTGGATGTTCTTCCATTTCTACATGTGTTCTTCCTGTGGAAACAAAGCTGATGTCTGTGGTAAAGGTGTTCAAGGTGTCAGCCTGTCCATGTGGTGACTTGGGGAATTTTTACTTAATTAAGCATTGTCTTTTGATACCCACATTGAATTCTGTGTTGCTCTGAAAACTTAAGCCTACGATGTTTCTTCTTCTCATCACCCCTTATAGCAACCCTTTTACTTCAACAAGCTGGTACTTTTAAACTTTTTTCTATAAATCAGTATTTTTTTTTTCCAGTTACTACTGTTCTAATTCCTACAGTCCTTTTGTGACTTGTCTTTGCATTTGCTTTGCTTCTGTCAGTATTCCTCTGTTAACAAGAAGCCCAAATCTAGATTCAACATTGTCATCTATGTCCCATGGTCTCTGCACGTGCAGCCTGAGTTCACTGTGTTCTGGCTGAACATGAATTTCTACTTGTACTGTGTTTTATTTGTCCAAATTCCTGCCTAACTAGTTCTCAGAGGTGCTTGGCTGTTCTGGCTTCTGCATCATCTGTCTGGTTTGTGAAGTTCATCTACATTTAACTAACACAAATGTTTTGCTGTTAATTAAAATGTTAATGGCTTATCAGTGATCCGCTGGTACGGATCCTCTTCCCTCTCTTTTAAGTCAATAATTCATTTACCTTTTTGGTCAATCCCTGAAATAGTTTTCCTTGTAGCCCTGTTTCTCTCCAATAGTTTTTAAATGAATTCTGAAATTGTTATCATTTCCTGACATTTTCTTTACACAAAGTAAATAGTAGTAGTGAACTTATTTATATAGCAAACTTGTATCCAAGCATCACTATTTGAGGCATTTCAAAACACCACTTCTAGGCAGCAGTAGCATTGTTGGTTAAAAACCCCTATGGCCAACTCATGAAACTCCTTACAAGACAGTGGATGTCAGGTCCCTTTAAAACCTTTAAAGAAAAAAGGTTAGAACAGAATTTTTAAGTTCTGAGAAACTTTGGGCAAAGAAATGGCCTGTTCTAGCAAAGTGCAGACATTTTGGAGCTACCAACGTGTCCCTGTAAAAATGGCCTGCTGCGCCTGGGTAAATCATGCAATGGGGCTTCCAAGGGTCTGCAAGTGATCTCTGTATTGTTTGTTTTCTTGATATGGATGCTCTGCCCGTTTGTCCTGTGTGACTTAGCATTGTTCTTCATATACTACAGACATACGTGATGTACGGCTGGTTCTACAGGAGGTAATATGTGGCAGGGCTGTGTCGGGAGTTGTCTAGTCTTTATACTTTTACAGAGGAAAATACTTGTTGCAATGTTAGAGGTAGCATTTTCCAAGGTGTTCCAGAAGCATCCTTTTAAAACATATATAACTGTTACAAATTTAACTTAGATTCACATGGAGATTTGTTGCTGCATTTTAGTTCCTTTTTATTACACTTTGTTCCTGTAACTTGTGGCAGTTCTGCTCTGGGTGCTGACCCTTCAGCTTTTTAAGTGCCCAAGCCTATATTTGAATTTAGTATAGAGCTCACCTTTTATAAACTCTGCATTGTATTTGCTTTTATATTATGCTAAACACAGAAGTAGAGAACCAATGTACTTTCTTCCTCTGGTTATTCATTCAGCAGTAAACCCTGATTGTTCTCATTTGGAAGATGTTTTCTTCCCTAGGTCTTTTCTCATGAATGTAAATGAATGATGTTGTTTAAATCCATTTATCTTATTTCTCTGCATCCTTCTCTGTGGAATTCACCAGCGATTTTAGGTGTGAAATTTCTTGTGTTGCAAAGGTTTTGTATTGCTAGTGCTGGTTCAGGGTAGGCTGGTCCTTTGGTGGGTGCTTCTTGAGTGGGAGTAAGGTCAAGCACAGAAACTACCTGCTTAGTATGTGTTGTTTTCAGATTCCAGCATCAGTTCTTAGATGGTGTGAATTTCGAAGCGGGAGGTTGTATTTCAACTGTGCTGTATTTAGGTCTCATAACTTTGCCACAACAGTAGAAAGCACAAGCTGGTCCTTGCAGCAGGAGTGTGAGCACTGCTCCTCTGGCACTGTGCCTCTGGCAACGTCTGGTTCTGGAGCAGGGTTCCTACAAACTGATTTTGCAGAAAGTGTTTGAGTAACATGCCTGCCGGCTTAAAAAAGGGAAGAAAACCCAAACGACCCCTCCACCTTCAGCACCTTAACTGTAAATCGTCTTCCAGTTCCTATAAAGGTGAACACACTTTGTGCCGGTTTCCTCGCAGCGCGGCGGGGTGGTAGGCAATGAGCCGGCACACGTCGTTTTCTACAATAGAACTCTTGGGCACCTATAGGTCTGCCGGGCAGCGGGCACGTTCTGTACTGGCCCCTGTCCCCCGTGCTTGTGCTGCTGAGCACGAAGGTGC